TGCATACTAAATTTAAGTAGTAGTTATTCCTCAGCCCAATAAACTCTCTTCCCCCTCTCTCATTCACCTTTATTCATCCTTCATGTCTCAACTTAGAAATTGCTTACTGTTAAAAACCTTTCCTAATCACCCTCCTCAAACTGAGATAAATGATACTCCTACATGTTTCCATAGAATCCTGTTCTTCCCTGGTCCTATAAGTGCATGTGCCAATTATCTTAGACTCTCTCCAAATTATGTAATTGACCAGACAGAGGTTAGAAAATGATGATGAAGTTTAACACAAGGTAAGATAAGATGGCATAGCAAGAGGAGCCAACTCCCTCTCCCTCTCTCTCCCTCCCTCTCCCTCCCTCTCCCTCTCTCTCCCTCTCTCTCCCTCTCTCTCCCTCTCTCTCCCTCTCTCCCTCCCTCTCCCTCTCCCTCTCCCTCTCCCTCTCCCTCTCCCTCTCTCTCTCTCTCTCTCTCTCTCTCTCTCTCTCACACACACACACACACACACAGATGAAATGTTAATTCATTCAGTCACAATTCAACTAGAACATATACTTGTTTGAGAATCCCTCAGGCCAGCAACTCATAAAAAGTATTTATATTGTTCACTTTTTTCCCAAAGATTTAAAAATACCTCAGGCAGTCACAAGTCCAACAGAAGTTTTGTTCTGATAACTCTGTCACATGCTTTCCCTAAAAATACATGCTCTCCAACCCCCAGGCCATAGACTGGTACCAGTCCGTGGCCTGTTAGAAACCAGGCCACAAAGCAGGAGATGAGCAGCGGGCAAGCAAGTGAAGCTTCATCTATATTTATAGCCGCTCCCCATTGCTCACATTACTGCCTGAGCCCCGCCTCCTGTCAGATCAGCAGCAGCATTAGATTCTCATAGAACGCAAACCCTACTGTGAACTGCGCATGCGAGGGATCTAGGCTGCGCGCTCCTTATGAGAATCTAATGCCTGATGATCTGAGGTGGAGCTGAGGCGGTGATGCTAGCGCTGGGGAGCGGCTGCAGATACAGATTATCATTAGCAGAGAGATTTGACTGCACAGAGACCATAATAAATCAACTGCCTGCAGACTCATATCAAAACCCTGTCAGTGAGTGGCAAATGACAATTAAGCTGCATCTTATGGAGTAGACTGGACATAAGCAACACACATAAGCAACATTCGGGTGTCACTGTCTCCCATCACCACCGGATGGGACCATCTAGTTGAAGGAAGACAAGCTTAGGGCTCCCACTGATTCTGCATTATTGTGACTTGTATAATTATTTCATTATATATTACAATGTAATAATAATAGAAATAAAGTGCACAATAAATGTAATGCACTTGAATCATCCCAAAACCATCCCTCTACCCCTCCACCCCCACCGCCCAGTCCGTGAAAAAACTATCTTCCAAGAAACTGGTCTCTGGTGCCAAAAAGGTTGGGGACCGCTGCTCTAGAACTTTGTTTATTCACTTATAAGGCCCATCACTGATGTAATAGAGGCAGCACAGTGCTGTGAAAGAGCAGGGCTCTCGAGCTCTCGAACATCGGTTCTACCAGTCACCACCAGTTTTGCGACCTAGAGTAAATTCCTCAACCTCTCTGAACCCTGCTTTCCTTAACTATAAAACAGGAATATCTCCTACCTTGCAGCATTGCTATCAGGATGAGAAACAACATATACAATGCATCCAATAAACTACCTGAATCACAAGTGAATAGTTAATTGTTTATTAAAGAAACACACATAGAGATATTTCAAAACACATACGAACTAGCTATCACTCTTCTTCCTCCCACCAAGAGATTTTTAATTTTCTAATAAAAGTAAAAACTCCTTTTTTGTAAAAACAAAACTAAACTAAACTAAACTAATAACTAACTTTATAATTGTTAAAGATGGTGCATGTGGGTTCATTACACAATTCACCTCTACTTTTGTGTATGTACAAAATCCAATTGAGAGAATTTAGTCACTTCCATTCTTATTGCTTCAATTATTTTAGTTTAAATTAACCAATGGCCCTTCGATAACATTAAGGATCTAACTTCCCCCAGAACCAAAACAAGAAAGAAAAAAAAGTTCCCAAAAGTTAACAAATGGTTTGGAGGGTATGGTTAGCTGAAGCCAGAGATTAAAAAGTCAAATTATACATTCACCATTAATCGTTCTATGCTAAATATATCTGAGAAGAAATCAGGACTCTGACATATAATTTGGAGTCACATCTCCACCATCCAGCCTATCAACAGTGGATTATTCCAGTTACTGCAGTAGAAACTTACTGGACTTCACTGTGCTAGGGACATTGGAAAATAGAAAAATGAGTAAGTTGGGGGTCCTTGTCCACTAGATGCTTCCAATTTTGTGTTACCTCCCAAAATCTCATCCTCATGCCACCCACCCCTTGACTATCACCTGCTGTCTCCCCAGGTCATTCCTCTGCTGCCCTGATCCTCAATTCCCTTACCCCTGTCTTTGTCATGCTTGCTGAGCACAATCTCAAACCACTCACTCCACTCCAGCCATACTAACTTCTTAGCCATTCCTTAAAAACTTCAAGTACACTCCTACCTTCATATTTTCCTGATTCTTGGCCTGAAACAGTCTTCCCCACCTAGATACACAGTATGTTCCCTCACTTTTTTCAGGTGTCTGCTCAGATGAGATCTTCTATGTGACTGCCATAGAAATTCAGCAACCACCCCTGCCAGATACTCCATTATACTGCTTTATTTTACTCCATTATATTTATTACCATCTAACGTATTCCAATTTAGCATCAATTCTAACAAGCATTTTTCTTCCACTGTAAGATAAATTCTGACTTTAGAAATGTTAAAATGAATAAGGTCCTACACTCTTTGACCACCAGGTGGCAGTCATCAGGTGTCATCGTCTCTAAATGCACAACCTTAAAAATAGTTGTTCTTAGTATCAGTTCTTTCGAGCTAGGCCCACTGTTGGCATTACCTGTGCTCAGTCTGCCATTTAAAATGTATCTCTGCACTACAGTGTGCTCAGTCTGACATTTAAAATGTATCTCTTGATTTAAATTGAAACAAAAAATCCTATATAGGGAATTCCCTGGTGGTCCGGTAGTTAGGACTCTACACTTTCACTGCCGAGGGCGCAGGTTCAATCCCTGTTGGGGGAACTAAGATCCCACAAGCTGGGCGGTGAAGACAGCTTGATGAAGAGGAAAGAGTAGTAGAGACTTGAAGATGGAAGGTCTGGACCTGGGGTTCTGGTCCCTCAGTTGTGTGACTCTGCAAAAACCACTGAGTCTCTCTGGATGTCAGTTTCTTAAGATCTACCCCGTCTACCTTACAAGTTGTTCTAAGGATCAAAATGAGACAACATATGTAAAAGGATTCTGTAAATATAACACATCACTGATATCCATTTATTCATCTGACAAATATTCACTGAGCATCTGCAATATTCTAGACTCTAAGGTTTCAGAGGAGAACAAGACTGGCAAGGTTCCTGCTCTCATAAAACTTGCATTCTTGTAGGTGGGAGACAGATAATAAACAGATAAATGGACAAGAATTTCCAACAGTGACAAATGCTCTAAAAAAACACAAAACAGGGTGACGTAAATAAGAGTGGAAAGGGAATTACTTTAGATAGAATAGTCATAGAAGGCCTGGCTGAAGTGACATAGCTCAGACTTCAAAGGAGTATTCAGCCAAGTGAAGAAGAGGGGAAACAGGTGCTGCAGCATAAGGAACAAGACAAGTTTGGCACTGGAAAAATGAGGTAAGCCTGGAACACGATGAGTGAGGAAAACTGTTAGCAGATGAGGTTGAAAAGGTGGACAGGGGCCAAATCCAGGATGGTCTTGGACTGTTAAAAGGATATTATCAGTACCAAAAATCTCTTCTTTTTATCAACATGGCCGAATAAATTGAGCCATTTATGCAAATATCTAGTGTACCCATTATCAAAAGTAGGACATTTCCAACTTTCTAACTGAGCAATGCTATCGCCAAAAAACAAGTGGAAGGAGCCTATGCAATGGCCCTAGACATAAAATTCTTAATAACAACATACAAAGGTATCATTTATTATGATGTTTGGTAAGTCAAACAGTCAAAAACCTCGACAGGGGACTTCCCTGGTGGCACAGTGGTTAAGAATCCACCTGCCAATGCAGGGGACACGGGTCCAAGCCCTGGTCCGGGAAGATCCCACATGCCGCGGAGCAACTAAGCCCGTGCGCCACAACTACTGAGTCTGCGCTCTAGAGCCCATGAGCCACAACTACTGAGCTCGTGTGCCACAACTACTGAAGCCCACGTGCCTAGAGGCCGTGCTCTGCAACAAAGAGAAGCTACCGGGATGAGAAGCCCACACACCGCAACAAAGAGTAGCCCCTGCTCACCGCAACTAGAGAAAGCCGGTGTGCAGCAACGAACACCCAACACAGCCAAAAATAAAATTAATTAATTAATTATTTTTTCAAAACCTCAATAGTAATAGAAGTGACAAAATTATAGAATGATTTTTTAAAAAACACACAAGTTTTTAACAGAAAAAATATCATTTCACTCAGCAAATATTTATCAAGCACGTACTTTGTGCCAGGCATGCTCTAAGCACTAGAGATACAACAATGAACAAATCAATGAAGATTTAAGCAATAACTGAGCAGAAGATTTAACTGTAGAATTATCATAACACCAAAACTGAACTTCAACTTTTTTTTTTTTCTTTTTTTTTTTTGCAGTACGCGGGCCTCTCACTGTTGTGACCTCTTCCGTTGCGGAGCACAGGCTCTGGACGTGCAGGCTCAGAGGCCATGGCTCACGGGTGCAGCTGCTCCGCGGCATGTGGGATCTTCCCAGACCAGGGCATGAACCCGTGTCCCCTGCATCGGCAGGCGGACTCTCAACCACTGCGCCACCAGGGAAGCCCCAACTTATTTTATGTCTCAGCATTTTCTAAAATAGGAGTTATAGGCTTAGTCATATGTACCTGTCAAAAAGCCAACTTACCAAGGAATTCTTAATCACTTCACTCCTATAAAATTCTGGAAAAGAAGAAAAAGAACAGTAAGTGACATGGAAGAAAATAAGCTCACTAACTCTTAATCCAACAAATTTTTTAACATATGCTCTAGTAAAAACACTTAAAACATTTTCAAGGGATCTATTCTCTACATATATTTATCTGCAAAAATTTAAATTAAAATAGAAATAATGATTAAATAAAAGTTTTTTTAAACTGAAGGATAGTTGATTTACAATGTTGTGTTAGTTTCCGGTATATAGCAAAGTGATTCAGTTGTACGTATATATACATATTCTTTTTCATATTCTTTTCCCATTATGGTTTATTATAGGATATTGAATATAGTTCCCTGTGCTACACACAGTAGGACCTTCTTGTTTTAAATTAAATGTTTTAAAGGGAAAAAAACATTAGTAAAGAAAGGTCAAAATCTGTTAAGATTTAATTTAGTGATTTTTCCCTTACTGGCTCCTTTTACCCCAGATTCTAAGGTAAGCCCTTAAAAACTCAGAGTTCATTCTCCCTTACCAACTGCCATTGTCTACAGCCAATTCTATACTCTCTGTTTTTCTCAAACATCTCCAATAATTATCCATTGTAGTACTGTGGAAAGAACACTCATCTAGCAACCAGGGAACCTAAGTTCTAGTTCTACTTGTCATTAACATTCTGCTTCTCATTTCCTTGAGCCCATTTCTTCATTAGACAATTCTGACAATCAGACTAATAATCAAGGTCCTCTAAGCACTAAACTTTCATGATTCTACAAACCTTCATTAACGTTGTAAATGTTACAAAACCTGAAGATACAATCAAAAGAGAGACTGTATCAGAGGTTCAGAGAGACATTCTTTTTTGTTTTTTACATCTTTATTGGAGTATAATTGCTTTACAATGGTGTGCTAGTTTCTGCTGTATAACAAAGTGAATCAGTTATACATATACATATGTTCCCATATCTCTTCCCTCTTGCATCTCCCTCCCTCCCACCCTCCCTATCCCACCTCTCTAGGTGGTCACAAAGCACCGAGCTGATCTCCCTGTGCTATGCGGCTGCTTCCCACTAGCTATCTATTTTATGTTTGATAGTGTGTATATGTCCATGCCACTCTCTCACTTTGTCACAGCTTACCCTTCCCCCTCCCCATATCCTCAAGTCCATTCTCTAGTAAGTCTGTGTCTTTATTCCTATTTTACCCCTAGGTTCTTCATGAAATTTTTGTTCTTAAATTCCATATATATGTGTCAGCATACGGTATTTGTCTTTCTCTTTCTGACTTACTTCACTCTGTATGACAGACTCTAGGTCTATCCACCTCATTACAAATAGCTCAATTTCGTTTCTTTTTATGGCTGAGTAATATTCCATTGTATATATGTGCCACATCTTCTTTATCCATTCATCCAATGATGGACACTTAGGTTGTTTCCGTCTCCTGGCTATTGTAAATAGAGGTGCAATGAACATTTTGGTACATGACTCTTTTTGAATTTTGGTTTTCTCAGGGTATATGCCCAGTAGTGGGATTGCTGGGTCATACGGTAGTTCTATTTGTAGTTTTTTAAGGAACATCCTCAGTGGCTGTACCAATTCACATTCCCACCAGCAGTGCAAGAGTGTTCCCTTTTCTCCACACCCTCTCCAGCATTTATTGTTTCTAGATTTTTTGATAATGGCCATTCTGACTGGTGTGAGATGATATCTCATTGTAGTTTTGATTTGCATTTCTCTAATGATTAATGATGTTGAGCATTCTTTCATGTGTTTGTTGGCAGTCTGTATATCTTCTTTGGAGAAATGTCTATTTAGGTCTTCTGCCCATTTTTGGATTGGGTTGTTTGTTGTTTTGTTATTGAGCTGCATGAGCTGCTTATAAATTTTGGAGATTAATCCTTTGTCGGTTGCTTCATTTTCAAATATTTTCTCCCATTCTGAGGGTTGTCTTTTGGTCTTGTTTGTGGTTTCCTTTGCTGTGCAAAAGCTCTGAAGTTTCATTAGGTCCCATTTGTTTATTTTTGTTTTTATTTCCATTTCTCTGGGAGGTGGGTCAGAAAGGATCTTGCTGTGATTTATGTCATAGAGTGTTCTGCCTGTTTTCCTCTAAGAGTTTGATAGTTTCTGGCCTTACATTTAGGTCTTTAATCCATTTTGAGCTTATTTTTGTGTATGGTGTTAGGGAGTGATCTAATCGCATACTTTTACATGTACCTGTCCAGTTTTCCCAGCACCACTTATTGAAGAGGCTGTACATTCTCCACTGTACATTCCTGCCTCCTTTATCAAAGATAAGGTGACCATATGTGCGTGGGTTTATCTCTGGTCTTTCTATCCTGTTCCATTGCCATGTTCTTGGATTGGAAGAATCAACATTGTGAAAATGACTCTACTACCCAAAGCAATCTACAGATTCAATGCAATCCCTATCAAACTACCACTGGCATTTTTCACAGAATTAGAACAAAAAATTTCACAATTTGTATGGAAACACAAAAGACCCTGAATAGCCAAAGCAATATTGAGAACGAAAAACGGAGCTGGAGGAATTAGGCTCCCTGACTTCAGACTATACTACAAAGCTACAGTAATCAAGACAGTGTGGTACTGGCACAAAAACAGACAGACATTCTTAACAACCCTCCAACATTCCCTCTGCTGACCCTGCCGAAGTCACTTCCGTGGTGCTCTGTCAATGCAGAGCCTACAAGGACCCTGTATCCTTATGTTGCTATAGGGAAATATTTTCCAAGGGTGATGTACATACCACTGATATATGAGACCATTTTAGGTGATACATGAACAAACTTTATTTTTTTCTAACATATTGAAATGTATGTCTCATCTATCCAACCCCTAATTGTAAGCTCCATAAGGGCAGTAACATTTGTTTTTGTGTAACTGTTGTCTCCTCAGCATGTAAAACTATTCCTGGCACAGGGTAGGCACTCAATAAATTTTTTCTTGAATCAACAACTTCATAGATTATGCTTAGACATGAGTTTAGACATACTGAACTTTTAAAAATATGTTAAGTATGTAGCATCGAAGACAGTGAAACTTGTTGAAGTAGTCCACAGGACTGAAGTTTGGGAACCATCAAGCAGTAAAGGAAAAGTGGACCTGGATATAAAATTCTTATGGGCAAGCTCTCTTGGTTAAAATGTTTCTTTCCAAAACATACCATCTACACTACTTTATGCTTATCTTCCCTTAAAAAATTAATAATAATAAGGATAATCATTCTATTTTGTGGTGAGATAGTCACAATGAGTGAAAAAAACAGGTTCTATGAGAGAATTTACAACAGGATCCAAAGTTTTACAATTATGTTTACAACATTTATTTTAGGTGATAGGGTTGGGCTGCTTACTTTTATTTTTTGCTTGGCAGTTTTCTAATTTTTCTATTTTGCACAATTATTTTAATTAAGAGAAGGGATAATTCTAATTGTTTTTAAAAGGAAACTTGTATTGATGAACATTTAAGTTACTGCTAATTTTTGGATATTTCAAGTAATATTATAAATAATCTTTGAAAGACATATACCCTAAGACACTTGAATCTATAAGATAAACTTTTAGAGGTAAAATTGCAAGATAAAAGGAAAAATACAGTTTGAATTTGACAGATATTGCCAAACTGTTCTCTAAAAATGTTGTACCATTTTACAACGCCACTTAACACTAGGCAACCCTAAGTATTATTCTTTTCATTTTTTCCCAAATGGTTCACCAATGCCAATCATAAATTGACTACATAAATGTACATATGTATGTATGTGTGTATATATATATATATGTTCTTTTTTTAATATGCATACATATACTCTAATTTATATGTACCAAATATGTTATTAGAAAAAAATAAGACTGTGCTAAAAATGTGTTGTTTGTTATTACAAGGTACTTTCACTTAATACATTTTTGTATTTAATACACTTTTGTATTGTCTGAATTTGCTGCAAGTAGGTAACACTTTTAAAATCAGTGAAAAAAATTAAGATATTCCTCTTTCCTTGTGAGAGAGAATTCCTCAGCTTAATCTATAAAGTGTCTAAATTAAACAGTCCCCAAAATATGCATCTCCAGCTCTAAGAAGATGAACAGCATCATTATTTCTTCCAAAACTTTGCTGATTAACTGTATATATAAATGAAACTAAACAATTTGCCTTCTCCATTAGATCCTCAAAATGGACTTGCTAATTTAAATAGAGAGAGGTCAACAAAGGAGCCATACAGTTTGGAAAGGAATCACTGAGTCTGAGGTAATTTCTAAAGTGTTAAATGTGGGCCTACACTGTCTATCACTCTGTTACACTTACATTATTGTCAATGAAATTAGCAGCATGGCACACAACAGAATAGAGAATTTAGGAAAATTTAGAGTAAAAAAATAGTTCGGTCCCCCAGTGTACCATGTGTAAGCTTGACCCTGGACAAGTCAATTAACTTTTCTGGGCCATAGTTTCTTCACCTTTCAAAGGAGAATGACACCTAGAAAATAACAGGGCTGTTATGAGGCTCAAATGAAATAGTGAATACTTTATAAGCTATAATTTTTATTAATAAAATTCTATGAATTTTTATTAACTCAACTTGAGCAAAACTATTAGACATGTAAATTTTCAAAAAGAATGTAAATTTTCAAAAAGATATCATCCAAGACTAGCTCTACATGAAAGGGTCTATTAGATACAAATGCTTCTCTATCCATGCTAAGACCTAAACAAACAAAGCAAGGAGAGACTGCAGGACATGGTTCCAATGGCATGTTTTGGCTGTTGTACAGCATTCCATTTATTCAACAAATGCTTTTTTAGTATCTCAACCTCACTCATAATAGAAGAAATACAAACTTTAACTCTACTATGAAACTATTTTTCACCTATCAGATTGGCAAAATTTCAGAAGTCTGACTGCACAGTCTGTTGGTCAGGCTGTGGGAAAAAGGGTACCTGTACCTAGCAAGTGGGAATGTCAACAACGGCAGTTTTACAATATCTACCAGAACTCTAAGTAC